CCAAGCGCCCCTCGTGCCCGGAGCATCCCCGAGAGTTGGGGAGCGCAGGTTTGGGGAGGGTCCCGCATCACCCCCCTTCCCACGCACACCCCTGGGTCACGCGGGTCATGCACAGCGCCGGGCACGGAGTCCCCTGAGCACGGACCCGCCTAAGCACGCACCCTCCCGGGTACCCTGGCCATGCCCCCCCCCTTCCCCCGTGCCCGGCCCCCCGCACGCCCTCGCCGGGCCCCCCGTGCCCACCATGGCGGGCCCAGCGCAAGGGCGGCCGCAGGAAGCGCCTCCCACCGCCTCCTCCGCCCCGCCAGCCAATCGGGAGCCTCTGTCCCTGTGATTGGCAGCTGATCGACCAATGGAGAGGCCGCTCCCCGCGGAGGGGGCGGGCTCTCCGCTCCTTCCCCCCCCACGCGGGCAAGGTCGTGGGGCCGCGGGTTCGAGTCCCGGCTCGGTGGGGTCGAGTCCCGGCTCGACGGGGTCGAGTCCCGGGGCGGCCCCCGCGACCCCCGCGTGGGTTCATATATTAATATCTATCATAAATCATACCCACGTGTCCTCCCGCACCCCAAAGCAGCTCTACAGCTCCCCATCCCCAGCCGGAGGGGACCCACTGAAGTCACAGGCAAAACACGCTCGAGTTGGGGAAATTGGTTTAATTTATTGGCAATCGAATCAGAGCAGGACAATGAGGAATAAACCCAAATGTTGAGAGCGTCTTCTCCACGCCCCTCACTTCTTCCCGGGCTTAACTTCACCTCCAAATTCCCTCCTTCCTTTCCCCCCATGGCACAGGGGGAATGGGGGCTGTGCTCAGTTCATCACGTTTTCTTTGCTGCTCCTTCCTCCTCACGCTCTTTCCCTGCTCCAGGACAGGCTGCTCTCTCCATAAGGCCGCAGATCCTGCCAGGATCTTCCCAGGGGGTCACAGCCTCCTTTGGGCATCCCCCTGCTCCAGAGCAGGGTCTCCTTCCACTCCTTCCCCAGCCTTGGGCTCTGCAGGGCCATTACTCTTCCTGGCTGCAAAAAAAACCCCACTTTTTTCACCAAGAAAACCAAGTTTTTCTTCCCCCTTTTTAAAAATGTCATTCCAGAGGAGGGTGCAGGGATCTGGGTGGCAGCAGCTCCATCCCTGTCCTCCCTCACCCCCAGGGCTGGCTGAGCTGGGACCTTCCCCTCCCTGCCGCCTTCCCTGGAGTGACGATGGTGGAACCACAGGTTGGAAAAGACCTTTAAAAGCTAAGGGGGTGTGTGTGTGGGGGGCTCTGCGGGTGCTGGTGGGTGCTCCTGGTCCAGGCAGGGTGCCTGGGTATTCCCAAGGGGTTGCCATGGATATGGATCTCCCTGGCGACGGGATGCGTTTCCCACTAGATGTCGCTTCCGCCCGTGCCCGGAGCATCCCCGAGGGTTGGGGTACCTGGGTTTGGGGGGTCCCACATCCCTCAGCCTCCCCAGGCACCCCCAGGGCACCCTGGGCAACGCAGCCCCTCCGTCAACGGCAGGCTGTGATCCCAAAAATCCCCCCCTAGACTTCCCAAAGTGACCCAATCCCTCATCTCCAGCCAAGCCAGGCTCCGGGGAAGCAGCTGCTCCATCACCTTTGCTGTCTCCACGTCCTGGGTGTCACCCCCACCACCACCGAGACCCCCAAACTCCCCCAACCCTTGCACTGGGGGACACTTTGGGGCTGCCCAGAACGGTCCCTCTGCTTCTCTGGAACGAATCCTGAGCCCCAGGAGACCCCCCCAGAGCTCCCACAGCGCCAGCTTTCAGCCCCTCCGAGACACAAAAAAAGGGAGGGCAGGGTGGAAGATGGATGCTCGGAGCACCCCCGGCCCGGCCACCCTCCCCCCCCAACACAAAAGCCCCTTTTGAGGGCTGATTTTACACCGTTCCTGCCCGGGGTGCCCCAATTTGCATCAGCAAAGGGAGCTGGGGCCTCGGGACGCTGGAAAGTTGGGAATTAACGGGTTTCCAGCTCCCGGAGCCTGGCCTGAGGGAGGGGAGGGGGGTGCCAGGCCCAACACCCCCGGATTTACAACCGGGGGCCACATTTTAATCCCGAGCGCCCACCGGGCCGGGATCGACCCCGAGCGAACTCCCACAGCCCGGGCACGGCCACGTCACGGCCACAGCGGGACTTCCCAGCCCTGGGCGATGCCGGGGGCAGCTGGCACCCCTCTCCGTGCCCGTTATTCCCCCCCCCCCCATCCCCAAAAAAAAGTTTCCCATTGCTCACAAAGGCGGCGCGGGCATTGTCCGGGGCTGCATCGCATTACCCGGCGCTCCCTCCCGCAGAAATCACTTGTATTTCACGCTCCATTGAGCAGCTGCCTGTATATATTTTCTGTGTTGCACTTTTAGCATGACAAAAGGAGAGGGCCTGTGAACTCCTTGCTCTTCAGACCTCTCCGACACGTCCCCCCCTGAGCGGAGCCCCCCTGGGTTAGCATAACAAACTGCCACGCTCCCTCCACGACGTTGCTCCGAGCTCCCTCCCGGCCCCTTTCCCCCCCTTTTTTTTTTTTTTTTTTCCCCCCTATTAATTTCATGTATAGCTCAATATTTGGGCGTCTGGGTCGCTGGCGGCGGCGGCCGAGCGCGTGCTGGGGGGATTGCGAGCCCGGGATTTCCAGGATGGCCTTCCCACGGATCCGTGGGGATCCCCCACGAGTGGTCCCTGGTGGGAATCTCTGAGCAGGACCCAGCTCCAGGTTCAGGCATCGCCACCAGAGTCCCCAAACCCTGCGGAGGGTCCTGGGCACTGGGCCCCGTCTGCTGCTGGAGCTGCAGGTCTCCAGCTCCTGCTTTTGCCTTGAAATCCCAGTTAAAGACAAGGAAAACGGGAGCTGGAGAGGGGCTGGAGTGAGTCCCGGGACCAGCAGGGCCAGCTGGGGCTGGAGGGACCAGTTGGGGAACTGGGAGCTGGTGGTATTTTGGGAAAGGAGGGGGCAAGCCCTTACCCTGGGCACGGGAAGAGTGTCCCACGGATCCTGCCCACGTTCCAGTCCCAGCCTCGGCTTTTCTCCAGCATTCCTTGGTCCCCTGGACCCCACTCCTGTCACCTGTTGGTGGGAGAAACTGGTGTGAGCCCAGTGCCAGCCCAGGCAGAGCCAGGGCCAAGCTGAGAGGTGACTGTGTCCCCACCATCCCAATTCCCTTCCCAGATCACTCCTCCTGTCCCAGTCCCGCTGTGGGGAAGTCGGTGTTGGGGTCTGGCTCCTGCCTCCTTCAGGGTGGGAACAGGTAGGAATTGGGGGTCAGTGGGTATTTCAGTGCCTAGGGACACCCTGGGACACCTTGAGAGAGGGCAGGTGGCAGCAGGAGCAGGAAAATCCACGTGGATAGAGATGGCAGGAGAGGGGGTCACAGAACCATGGAATGGTTTGGGTTGGAAGGGACCTTTCAAAGCCCAACCAGCCCCACCCCCTGCCCTGGGCAGGGACCCCTCCCACTATCCCAGGTTGCTCCAACCTGTCATGTCCTGCAAAACTCACGGAAGGGGCTGCTGGGTGCTCTGGGACCCCCCCTCCCACCCCAGCCCCACCTCCCACCACCATCCCACTCCAGGAACTCCTCACCAGGCTCCTCGTGCTGCCTCTCCTGGGGACAGGGTGACCCTCAGACCGTGTCCGGGACAGGGGGTGGCACCTCCTGGCACATCCTTGGTGCTCCTGGTGCCTCCAGCTGGGGGGTGCAGTCAACCAAGGCCCTGGAGCCGCTGGATGCTGGCCTGTGGATGGACATGGATGGGCATGGATGGGTGTGGATGGGCATGGATGGGCATGGATGGGCGTGGATGG